ATTATCTTGATATAATTTATATTGTAATAGGCAATTTAAATTATTTCAAAGATAAAGCACATGACATGACTGGCTAATGTTAATTTTCACAATATAAATTAAACTCTAAAGTCTTAGATATAATGTCATGTAACATCATTTTTTCCATAGAAAACGATATTTGATAGTTACATGTGATAAAATTAACTATTTCCTGGTTATTTTTGAAATCTTAGAATCGTTCATAAAGATTGTTTGTTATTATTCTAGTTTTCTGTCAATATATTAATCAAGAAAATTATTTGATTGATAGATTATATTGAACAATAGAAACACAGAATGTTGGCATTAACAGATTTACCAAACAATCAAACAAACAAAATGACATTCTTTATGAGGATAAATGAAAGCAAATAACATGTTTAATATAAACAGTAGAAAAAAACTGGAGATAACTATAATCGAAAACAGAATGGATTGTGTTAGTACATTTGTTTTATTGAAAATAAAAATATGTTCGTAGATGAACTTGGTGTTATTTTACTTGTATCTTCCCAATGTTATTTAGAACTGTAATTGATCAATTGCTTGTTGACATATGTGCATCCTGTGTAGATTGCCTCGATATAGCTTTAAATCACAAGCTTTTTAAGCAAAGGTAGATAGTGGTTAGCAGTGGTATCTAGGATGTGCCTGTTGTCCCATTTAAGAGTTGTCAACTAGATATATTTTCATCCCAGAGTTGGGGTTCACTCCGAGACTCAAACGCCAGTGCACTATCCACTTTGCTACTGAGTCCACACGACCACTACATTGTGCAACGTTCATGTTACTTCTCATGAATTATTTCATTGTATCATATTGTTAACTGTGCAGTATCTGCTTCTTCTATTAGTAGAAAGTATCACTTTCATTAAGATCATCAATATATCTTATTAAAAACCTACCAGTATTTCGCTTCTCACGTATATTATCTTAAAGGTATAACAATTTGTTGAAGTTATTACTTGTAACATTTTTCAAGTATATGAAGAGAATGAAGTTGTGAATAATCAGTATTATTATGAAAAGTATAAATACTTATTCTTTCGTGATAGATTCTGTTTATTGACTGTTAGCTTGTATTTATATGATATCAGTGATCATGATAAGCAAAAGACCGATTATCTCTAAACAATAATAAACATTTACCACATAATTACCCTGATAAATTTATTTACTACAATAGTTATGAAGTGATATTTTAAGCTTATAGGCCTAATAAATGATATAAAAAGATAATAAAAAAATATAATGAACAGAACGAATAACCTTTAGAAGTTATATACATTAAAGCAATAGAAACATTTACAGGACATTTTTACTATATTAAGATATAAAACAAAAGACATACGTCTTGTCTTATTAGAAAATGTTAAACTAGTTATAAAGTACCGTTATGTTGAATTAAATACAAGAATCAATATTGAGACCAACATTTAACTTGTCTATTGTCTTTATCATTTAGATAGTTTATAATGTATATATATAGATATATATATATATAATACAACTTGCAGTTTCGTTACATAACTATCTTATTAAATGTTATAAATATATAAATATACTTTGTTAACCATTATACTTTATTATTATTTAGTTCAGAATGTAACTGGTTACTAAAATTCCTTAAATATGACATTTATTTATTCATTTGTCGAAACATTTAAGTATTCTAACTTGATCATATTTACTGTGATAAATTTAAAATGTTATTCGGTCTGTATTTACTAACCGGTAAATAGATAAAGATATAATATGAATAACCCTTGAAGATCAGACAATTATATATTGTTTAAAGTAATTAGTCTCTTTAATAAAATTCATTAGAGCAATAAGAAGACGTAGTTGATCTGAAAAAAATAAGATACATTTTGAACAAACTGGTCACATTTATACTTGTCAAAATATTTTATATGAAAATTAATAAAGGTTAATTGAATGTAAGTTCAAGTAAAAAACGTAACAAAGGGGAGAGAAACATTTCTTACATCACTTTGCTAAGCCGTAAAATCATTTAAGGATTACCAGAGTGAATTCAAAATAACAATAGATTGATTTTGTACACATAAGGAGGGAGGCTAAATTTACGAATAGCCAAGGCTTCAATAAACTATTCGAAATGGACAGAAACTATGGAAAATTAAATATTGCCCTGTTAAAGTTTTTTTTTCTTATAGACTGACCACTTTACTTATTTATTTATGACCATTTTATAGTTCAGTTCTCCCTTCGACTCAAAAGTATGCTTACATATGTATGCAAATATTGTATTTTAGTTTTAAATATTTAAGTTTAATGACTGATTTTTAATTTAACTAGTTGAATTTATTTAGCTTTAAAAAACTATATTAAATATGCCTTCGGTTAAATAAATTAATCAAGTTTAAACATAAACCAAGAGCTTGCATTATCTATTAATAAGTGAATAAATCCAGTTTCCGTGAGGTAATCATGTTGTACTTGATCCCAATAAACTTCATTCAACAAGTCATTCAGTAGATTGTATTATAATTCAAGACATGTAGCTTCAGTATATCATATTTCATAGAAACACTTGTTTGAGTGGTTGGGTAACATCAATAAGCTACAAATACAATGAGTGCAGACAAATTATGTGGGATAAATTTCATTCAGTTCACTAGAACATCACGTTTTTGCATTGTAATTCCATCCACATAGTAAAATCACCTATAATGACTTGAGAAAATGAGTTTGATAAATACATAAACAGCGTAACATATTGATCAAAACAAGTAAGCTGAAAACCATTATAGCACAAAAAATTTTAAAAAATTGCATGTTCATTGATATCATGAACCGACATAAGATAGATCACTATTGAAAATCTAGAAGCATTGGAGATTGTCTTGTTTTAGCTTAGAACTCGAAAGTGAACATCCATGACTTTGGACGAAGGAATTGAATTCCGGACCTTCAGTCTCGTACGTGAATTTTTAACCTATGGACTATTGAGTCCGAACCCAAGGGTGTTAATGTCAAACTCTAATCAGTCTACGACAATGCGCGATCATCTTTCATCCTTGGTCTAGCTTCACTGGTTAAATTTAAATCAAGTTTATTAACAAATGTAGACACTGGAAGATTCTTCGTATGGGATTACTCACTTTATAATTTATGAAACAAGTTTAGGATCTAACGATTCATAAAGTGTCCATATTGATTAAATGAGCCTAATATCATTGATATCGAAGATCTCCATTAGTTTACAGAATCGAATCAAACTAATTGATACTATCACTCTCTCCATACACGTTTAATTCCTAATAATATTGGCGATTATTTTAAAATTATTAAACATTTAAATGTACCTTATAAATGTTGGCACCAAAGTTGATATAGAACGATCATTATGAAATAAAATGTAGTCATCTAACTCATTGGTTTTACAGTGTTATTGTTTTTTTATGGCGCTAACTTTCTACAACACATATCCGTAATTCGGTAATTATAATTCTATTTTTTTTACAGAGATAACATTTTTGTGTGTATGTTTATTCAACATTTCGAAGATCAATCAGCTTATAATAACCGTTTCTATAGCAACGAATAAACAATTGAATGGATAAATAATTCGTTTTTTTTCGTTTTAAATAAAAGTAAACATATTTAATGTGAAATAAAGCTTTCAAAATTGAAGTACATGAGATTTTTTATCGAGTAATTAAAGTTGTTTTTCGTTTCATTTGTTGAACATTATAAACATATAACGTAATGTATTGTACAGTTTACTAACAATTCACATGTTTGTAAACTATGAGAATTCCTAATATAAATATTTAAATAGTAAGATAAAGATACTTCATCACTACTATTGATAAGCTTTATTTACTATGTACACAAGTGTGCTCAATATTTTGATTTTTAAAAGAATCCTGAATTTAAAAAATCCAATGGGCAAACTGACGACTAGAGTGTTCTATACTCGTTCCATTATTATGTACTCTAGTGCAATGAGATTGTTTAATAGAGTTGACATGAATGACTATTGGACAAAATAGCAGCAGTAAGCTATGTGTCGAGTTCATGGATACGCACTGCTTTGTAGTTCCATACTAAAAGAAAATGCCTGTTCAGTGCTTCGCGGTTTTCAATGGTAGTCTAACGTTGATAAGTCCATGATTTCAATGAAATTCTACAACCTCCAAAACCCTAAACTATACATTTTGTGAGTAGTACTTGTACTTAAAACTATTAGCAAAAATGTAAATACGACCTAATATCAAACTTGCGGACTGATTATATAAAAGACTCAAATTGTAATAAATTACGTTGGTAATCTTACAAATAATCAGATATTTTATGTATAGATGATTAATTATGAGTTTCTTAATTAGTATAAATAACATGTCTTATTGAGATTAAGTGAATCAATTAAGTGAAGGAGAACTGAGTTATTTAAAATGAATATTACTACTGTAGAAAACAGTTGGGGACAACCAAGTATATTTGAATACAAAAACAACTAGTCAGTAGTTACTAGGATATGTTTTTCTACTTAGAAACAATATTACTCCAAGTGTAAAATTATTATTTGTATTTTAATATGACATTATTAATGAAAAAATTAAATTCATGTTAAGTGGACTGTCAAAATATGTTTCTTTGAATTATTGATCGTTCAGTTAAATCAACTGTAAAACTAATAAATACTAGAACGTATTAGCTTATTGTCATAATGTTTTTTACCTTATTTTCAGACTATTTACCCGTGAAATATTTGATTGTATGAGAAATAAAACTTGGAATCTTTATGCAGCCTGTAGTTAAGAGAGATTAGTTATGAAACTTATTTTTCATTGAGTATGACGTAATTGTTAAAATCTTTTTTTTTCAAACGTAATTTAACTTATATAAGTCTTTCAAGAAACTAGTCTTCATATATATATTGTTATATTGCTTGGACAGGATTTTTAAAAGGTGAATTAGTTTTAAATAAATTACTTTAATTTGTAAAATAATCCGGAATGACAATGTAAACTTTACAAATAAACTGTCTTGTACAATCTCTCCAAGAATAAATCTCATAGCAAAACAATATGAATTCATTAATATTCTGAATTCTCTTCAGCTGTTTACAATTTAAATCTATATGTACCGGGTGTAAATACTTTATATAGGACACGACTTGAAAAAATTGACTGAACAAACAGAGATAGAAGTGAGTTGGTTAAAGCTAGACATTAACACCGTTGAATGCCAGTGGTCCAGAAATGAAGCGTTCACGCATGAGACCGAAGGTCGTGGGTTCGAATCCTCCGACGAGATTGTGGATGTGCATTGCTGAAGAGTCAAACAATAGAACGAAACGGCCATCCGGTTCTTCAAGGTTTTCCATGGTGGTTTAGCTTCAATCAATACATGAATTGAACTATGAAAGATAGAGGTGTTTATCATGAACTCATAAAATATTTATATTTGCATTAATAAAATTCATATATAACCAATAAATATAGTTTACCTGATTATCAATATTTGCTGTATAGTCTTTCATCCATGGAACATAAGTTGATGTGATTGTTTTGATTAGATTGATTAGAAATTTGTAAAGGAATGTTTGGCTGCCATATTGATATAAAACATCGATAATATTAGATAATTTTGCTTTATTTTGATATTTTAATTTCATCCTAATAGTGTTCGGTAATATACTGTATGATTCGTATATTATTGCTAATTCTACAAAGAAGTTACCCTATCGATAAAAAGAAGAGAAGAATTTGATCAATGAATGGTGATTTCATCACAACTCAGTATTCAAATAAGATGAACTACATATATTTGTTTTCAAATAAATTATCAAGAGTTTTTAGGGGCCCTTTGTTCTCGAATCCCATTTTAGATTGTATGGATGTTTGCTATTGCTGATTCTCGTATATCATCGTTGACTTAAATCGCGTTATCCAATAACGGAATTAAATAAGTCAATTAACGAGAATGGCCATTGAATACATATATTTTGTATATAAAGTGAATGCGATAGAACAAAGCGAAATGACGCGCGGGGAGGATGGCTGGGAAGCCAACTCCAATTCAAGCCGAACATTACTCAATATTTATAGGCAGACAAAATGAACTACAGACATGTGATGAGTCATCGGACATGAAGTGTACACACATGTACGCTCATGTGAAAACAGTCAAGGCTAATAAGCGAATAATTAACAAGGTCAAAACATGACTCAAGTAGAATGAATAGAATGGGATGTCCGAAAACTAGAATAAAATATATTATGAGCTAAAACTAATGTCTAACACTACAAGTTTTAATTTGACTTTAATGTATAATGACATGATGAAAATGAGAAGACTACTAGTGTAATGAACGAATAACCAAAGATTCTTTAATACAAAATAATAGAAATTCTTGGTAAAATATGAAAATCATATGATGAATATTTCATTTGCGAATTTTCATTATTTGTCTTTTACATTCTGTATGATACACTCAAGTGACAATTCCTTTCTATTACTGTTTCTGTTTTTTCTTCATCTAGATCTTCTTAAACCTTGCTTTCATATTTTCCTTTTCAGACTGTTGTTACATGCTACTTATACTTGTCGACGTAAGTAGCACACATCACACTTATAATCGATAAGTGATAATATTATTAACAATAACAATAACCCTACCAGAATCATTGTTCAAAATCATTCATATAGCCGGAAAACTCAGTCCTAAAGGAATAAAATTGAAATGTTTACATACAGTGGAGGTTATATCTATTTATCTATCAGTTCGACTGTAAACCTTGTACACGAAAAAAATCTGTTCGATTCTTCATTCTAACATAATCTTAATCTCCTTTTTGATCTACCATAATCTATAGCTTTTTCGAATTCTATACAATTATTTTACACAACTATTAATTAGATATTAATTTAACGTTTAGTTAATCTGCTGTTAATATTAATCCAGTAGACATTCATTTTTACCTTGAGATGTTTTATCAGCTATCAAATTACTACATGACATCTTTTTATTATCGGATTGTTGTAACCAATTCATGGTATAATGCTACTGTAAATACAGAGGGGTTTTGTGGAGATTGAGGTATTTTTTAAAAATTCATTCATGAGTCAAATAAAGCTAGACCACCATGGAAAACCTGGAAGCATTGAACGGCCGTTGCATCCTAGTATGAGACTTCTCAATAGTTCACATCCACGATCCCGCCTAGCGAGATTCAAACACAGGACCTATCAGTCTCACATGTGAATATTTAAACCACTGAGACTCTTGATGGATGTTTCGCTCAACTTGGCGGATTAGTTGAAGTTAACATTACCATAAACACTGTTGGATGCTGGCTCAGTGGTCTAGATGTTAAGTGTTCGAATCTCGCGAGGCTGGATCGTGGATGCACACTGCTGAAAAGTGTCATACTAGGAGAAAACGGCCATCCATTTCTTCCAGGTTTTCCGTGGTGGCCTAGGTTTAATTGACTCATTAATTCAATTATTAAAAAATTGTTACTATGACTCTTCAAATTATGCAACATCAGTCACGTTCTACATAGGCAATTAGTCGACTTCCCAAGTGAATGTAATTGTTGAAACAAAAAATCATACCAATGAATAGTCTTTCATATTTTAATAATTTGATTCATCACTGTCAATTTCATTATTACTCATTCAAAATGAAAACAAATATCATTTTAACATATATTCAAGATTCTCAATATTCAAAAACCATATCTTCAATAGTGAAAGTTTTATTATTAGTTCAATAACTGAAATTAATAATTTTGATCATTCATAAGATGTAAATTGAATTAGTTCTAATATAATGTTCTTTTTTGGTATAGATCATTAACCGAACGTCAATTGGTTCATAATCTTAATCAAAAACTTTATAATCTCCACAACATTTATACTGATAATTTTCTTTTGTCTTTTTTGTTGTTATTCAAAGTAAAGGCAAAGAGAAGTGACGTGTTTCGTTTAAAGATTTTCAATAATTCACATCGTTATAATTTATGAGTTTCTCTTATTATTTTCATAATATTAGGTATCATTATCAAGGTTTGATTTCATAATTTCTAATAAATTGAGCATTGGGTAGATTGTTACAAATAAACAATGTATTTGTAATATCCCAATGAACAGAAAAATTAGATTTTCTGACGTTTCGTGAATCAGTGTAAGCCACTTCATCGAAGAATAAATAACCAAATTAAAATTAATTCAAGTTTAAGTTGTACAACAGAACAACACGAATATCATGTGATCAAGCTGTACAATCGTATATATATATATTTATATTTATATTTATATATATACACGATTGTACAGCTTGATAATAAAATGATTAAAAACAGATCCTTTTGCTGAACTTCATATTCTTAATTTCTAATGTTTAAATAGGAATTATCTGTCAATAAGTGTTTTATCAACGTTATTTAACATTAATTAATTGTTTCCATCCTTTAATTCTGACTATCTAATAGATGATCTAGTCTTTTTAAAACTTACTATTTTTAGACAAACAAATTGTTCAACCTAAACTTGATACAAATTCAGGCTAATTAAGTTTTATTTTACCATTTTATAAAAGATATTTTGTTTTTAATTATCAATGATTCTAGGAAAAAAAAATGTTGTTTTTTCCTATTTTTGTCTCATCATCATCATCAACAACATCAACATCATCATCATTAATTGTAAGTTGAAAGAAAAAAGGGCGATACACTTTTAATTCAAACAATTAATATTGATATTAAATAAGAAAATAATTTGATTGAATTATAAACATTTTAACAATAGCTTAGCGATAATAAAAGGTTGATTAAAGATAATTAATGATAAACAGTTTTTATTATTATTAGAAACATAATTACAGGACATTGATTTTTATCATTTGCATTATTTAGTTACTTCAGTTCTCTTTATTGATTAGTTGGTTTGTTTGATATTTGTGGACATTGAAAATGTTTGTATATTTGAGCTACCTGTTCCTAGCACCTGAATATTTCAACAAGTTATCTGTTTTTCTTGTTTGTTTTGACACATCTTTATGCATATTAGTCGCATAACCTATTCAAGTGCGCTTGTGAAAAGTTTACGACGTTACGACAGGCCAATGAGGCATATCGTGGTCGCTGGCAATGTGCATCGAAAAGAATATACATTATTCAGATGTCGATTCCCGAACTGCTTATATCTAACTGATGAAAACTCTGTATTTATCGCGAGGATCGATCAAGAAATAAGGAAAGGGAACTTGTTCAAGTACATTGTGCTGAGAATTCTATATTATACCAAGAATATAATATTGAATAAAGCCACTAATAATAATAATAACTGAAAAAAGAAATTAAGTTATCTATGATATTGAACATCTGAATGAATCATTATAAATTATACTTCACAAATACTACTACTTATATAATATACGCCTTTAAGTATTACTTCAATGAAGATGCTCAAAGAATAAAAAATACAAGAAAAAATATTTCATCAAAATATAATGAAATCCAATAAATGTTATTTAATAGAATAATAAGATGATCAACACAAATGATCTAGATTTTCTACATTCGTAATTTGTAATAACTAGATTATAGAAGAAGGAAAACAGAATCTCCAATTACAAAAGAAGATTAGCTGTATTGTTAATCACTAATGAGTTTTAAAATAGGTAAACATTTATTTCAAGTATTTTTTATGACTATTAAGGATTTTGAATAAAGTTTACTAAAAACGAAGTGTATACAGCATACAGTGTATACATTACTATTACGATTTATCAAATCCTGATACAATTTGTTACAATATATACTAAGATTTGTGATAAGTTCCTCTTGCGTAATCATGGATTTGATAAAACATATAAGCGAAGAATATAATTTTCAGTTAGATTTTAATCAGCCTTAATGTAAGTTATACTTGGAAAAAAATGAGAAGTGATAAGTAACTTAATGTATGTTATGCGTTGCTGAAATCATTGAAGTACGTCACATTGTAGTGAACCAAAACACAAGCGGGGACAATCGTTTGTGCTTGAATGGAAAATTACAGAACATCGTCAGATCAGCGATCCATACAATAATTACTTCGTTTGCAAAATGTCAATCAGTCGTCTCAGACTTCATCGTTCTTTCGTTTCCACACCGATCACTCTCTGTTCTCGTTCTTTTTTATTCGATCTTCTTAATCTTCTGCCACCAGACACTTTAATTTCCACTGACGATACATATTATTATATCTGTTGACATCAGTAGCACACACCACAATATAAAATAAATTAATTAACAGCATGAAAATCAAGTTGTTTTGCAAGTGTTTGTGTGCTATTTCTAGAAACCTGATCAAATACACAGCTAGTCATCTTATTTTAGATCCAAAAGAGGAAAGATCAGTGAAATAAATAAATGGTGAGTATTCATACTATCAGTCCAAATGTATTCAAGCATGTATACATATGGAGTAGCATGTGCAAAATCTCTATTTCCCCGTCTCTCCCTAATGAAATTAACTATGCTTCAGCATAGTTCGAGGGTAACATTGATAGAAAAAAAGAACTCGGATATCATACGAATCTCTGTAGAAAATACATAATGGATCCATACACAAAGCCCTATTTTATGATAGTTTTATCTTGATATTGAGAAATAAAGATAAGCTGATTGAATCAAGCTTTTCATTTGGATTTTCACTTTAAACACTTTTGGAAAGCTCACTAGTTATATTGGA